TTAGGCGACCAAAGTAGGTTAACTTAATAAAATAAAGAGTAAAGTGCAATTGTTTTTAGAGAGAATTTGGTACAAGTAATCGTCGGAAAGAGTTAGTGATTTGCGTCATATACTAGTTTTTTTACTATTATGGAAATTTATTTGTCTCTTATATTTTATTTCTTGAATTCTTTTAATTAGTGAAGTTTTTTTACATCAAAAACAAAAAAAAACTTGTATGTCAGTGTTCAAGATATTTGTTCATCGTATTTTATTGCATTGGTTCAATTAAACACACTTACGCGAATTAAACCTACTTTAGAGCACATTAGTTTGATCAAATACTTTTAATTACCTTTTTTTACTATAATATATGAAACTTTTTGACTTATTCAAAATATTGTAAACAAAAGCTTTGAACTTTGCTAGTATAGTTTAATCAAAATCTAATATAATTAATAATATTTGAATCTTTCATTTATAGATTTAATTCTAATTGCGATATCACTAATTATTGATATATTGTGGTTCTGGAACTGCTCGCCATCATCATCAATTAATGAATTTCCAATGATTAACCTCTTTATAATTGCATATTCTTAACCATCTCAAGAAACCAATTAAATTCTGTAAATTGTACTGATATCTGTTACAAATCATGTGAATTTTTAACTAAAAATAAACAGATGATTTGAAATCGAAAAGAAAATCAGATTATTTCTTGAAGACTATTGGAAAGTGCTTTAAATCAAGAAATGAAAGTAATAAATTTTAGAAAAAAAATTGCAAACTCTTTACTGAACTCTATAATAAAATTATTAATTAGATTCTTCAGGTGAAATAGCCTTTTGAATATTTGATTATTTTCTATGCGTACTTTAAACGAGCGCAATATGCAATAGCAGAACAGAAAATAATGAAGTGGAGCACTATCCAAACATTTATCTTCATAATTTCTAATAAAAAAAGTGTTTAATATAAAATCTGAGAGAGAAGAATATATATTTATTAAATGGATGAATATTGATATTTCAACTAATAATAAAAAAATAAAAATTTAACTCAACTAGAAGTTTAACTAATCTAAATTTATAAAATGAATTATTGTAACTAAAAGCGTGGTGAACTTTATAATTCATTATAATTCATACAAATTTAAAGAAAATTAGCAAATTTTTCTCTTACTTATTTCATTATCTCATGATGAAAAATTACTTGCAAATTTAAATAAATTATTAGAAAAAGAAGAGTCTATTATTTTCTCCGCAATATTCACATAGTTTCTCACAATTTTGCCTCCAACGCATCTTTTTTACTGCTGTGACAGTTATTACATACTTCTTTCCTTTCATTTCCAGAAATGACAGTTAAAATAGGTTTTAAAAATAATAAGCTAATGGGATTCTTTTTGTTAAGATCTGTTTTTCTTTTCAATATAATTACTTAGACTGATTTTAGAACACAAGAAAAAGCAACAAGAAGAACAAAAAAATTTAAAGAAATAAAAGATCAAGTCTTTAAGTGTGTTGAATTAGTGACTATTATACTACACTGAATTTTTGAGGAACCTTGTTTAGCTTTTTCTTTAATTTTCTTTAACTTTTTTTGTTCTTCTTGTTGCTTTTTCTTGTGTTCTAAAATCAGTCTAAATAATTATATTGAAAAGAAAAACAGATCTTGACAAAAAGAATTCTATCAGCTTATTATTTTTAAAACCCATTTTAACTGTCGTTTCTGGAAATGAAAGAAAAGAAGAATGTAATAACTGTCATGGCAGAAAAAAAGACATGTTGGAGGCAAAATCGTGAGGAACCATGTGAATATTGTGGAGAAAACAATAGACTTCTTTTTCTAATAATTTATTTAAATTTGCAAGTGATTCTTCATCATGAGATAACGAAATAAGTAAGTAGTTTTAAAAAGATTAATAAATTTGAATTGTTAACAAAAGATAATGTTTATTGTTCTAAAGTTTGTTTAAATAAAAAAATTACGACAAAAAATACAAAAAATATAAAAAATTTAGTTTAATCTAATGTTGTAATAGAAAAATAAGAAGATGCCAAAAAATACAAAAAGTGTAAAAATTTAGTAATAATCTAAGGTTATTTATACTTTTAAATTACTCTCATTGCCTATATTGCTTTTATAAACTTAGAAAGCAGCGCATGTCAAGTGATTTATGCAAGGTTTTTGAAAATGCAATCAATCAATTGACTCCAGTAAAATAGTTTAAAAATAGTCAATTGAAAATTTCTTTATTTATTTTTTTTAATTATTTTTGATTTAAATTTAGTCACGTAGAAAATACAAAATAATATTTAAGAGAGCAACAGAATTCTGAAATTGTCTAATATGGTGTTAAACCAGTATTGTTATGCAAAATAATAAAAAAAAACAAATAAAAATAAATAAGTAAATTAATAAGAATAACACATAAAATTATCAATTTAATGCGTATAATTTTAATTGACCTATTCTCTCATTTTTATAATTGATTTAAAGTATTAAATTATCAATTTAATGTGCATAATTCTAATTGACTTATTCTCCTATTTTTATAATTGATTTTAATTTAAAAGTAGTTTTAAAATATTAAATTCTTAATTGAAAAATTTATAAGTTCAAATATATAAAACTTGAGTGCCTATTTCTTTATTTAGTCAAAATATTGTATTATTTTTTAAACAAAAAGCTTTATCAATTAATCCAATATAATTAATAATAATAGTAATTAAAATATAATATATTTGCTTGGATTCGATTGGGTAATCGTTATTATGCGAGTTAAAAAATAAAAAGAAGATAATTCCAATGAACTTTATTATCTCAGAATTTGCTAAAAAAAACAACTCATCTTATCACTGAATTTTTCTTAACAACTTAGTCACAGCATTTCTGCCCGCAGGTCATTTAAACCAGTTATGCAAAATAAAAAAAAAATAAAAATAAAGATAAATAAATAAATCAATAAGAATAAATAATATGCCATTATTTAATTGACCTTTTCTCTCATTTTTATAATTGATTTTTAAAGGTTGTTTTAAAATGTTAAATTCTTAATTAAAAAATTTATAAGTTCAAATATATGAAACTTGAGTTCCTATTTATTTAGTCAAACATTGTGTTATTTTTTAGACAAAAGCTTTGAACTTTGCTGTTATTTGCTTTATCAATTAATCTAACATAATTATGGTAATTAAAATATAATTTATTTGCTTGTATTCGATTGGGTAATTGTTATTATAGTTAAAAAAAAGATAATTCCTATATATTGAAAAGGTCAAAAAGAGGTTGAAAAGATTACATAACCTAGTTTTTTTTATCTTTACTAATTTTAAAGATATTATAAAGAATAATCTTTCTTTTATATTCTAATTGTGATATTACTGATTATTTAGTTTATCTATAGAATCTATTTTAAAATTATTATCAAACAATTCTAGCTTAGCTAAATTTATAAAGAATAATCTTTTTTTTATATTCTAATTGTGATATCACTGATTATTTAGTTTATCCATAGAATCTATTTTAAAATTTTTATCAAACAATTCTAGCTTAGCTAAATAGTTTCTGACAGGAATATTGCTGTCTTAAATATCATATAAAGTTTTTTTGTTGGAATTAATTAATGACCTTATTTGAAATAATGAAAAATTTGAGAAAAATTCATTTAATATCTATAAATAAACAATACTACTGTATGTCCTACCTTTTTCACATATATTTGCTAACCAAAATTTTGAGAGACCAAGTAATTTTATTTTGTGAACTTTTTATAGCTGATTTTATATTACTTTTTAGCTATTTTCGAATTAAATAAATCTTTGATTATCTGTAAGTGAAAAATGTAATAATTTACAAAAAACAAGTAGGGAAAAAAGAAAGAATTTCAAAACAGAACAAGAAAAAATTTGGAAAAAGAAATATAAGAAGACACTAATTAGATTTGATTGAATTGATTATAAATTTAACTGATATTTCTGTAGATAACCTATCAAGATTAAGCAAAATATTATTTAATTGAGGATGTATTTCTGGTTCAGAGGACCAACATTTCTCATAAATATCTGCATATTCTTGTGGTGTGCTAAGAATTACCTCCTCTCGATAATCATGTGAAATTTTCATAGCAATAGCATAGTTTGTTAGGTCAGAGAAAGGATGTGTCCTACTGGTAAGTTCCCACAGCAATACACCTAGACTATATATATCAAATCGTTCATCACACTCAACTTTTTTTTCTTTTGCAATGAAGCATTGAGATTCAAAATATGCAGCCATAGTATTCGAAATTCCAAAATCAGCAATTAAGGGTTTACCATTATTTATTAAAATATTTTTAGAATGCTAGCGAAATCAAATAAGAATTTTAGTAAAAAATAAATTAATTAATCTGAAATTAAATTTAATAATTCATATTAAATTTTCATGGATAATTTTTTTTTCATGCAGGTGTTTTAATCCAAGTCCTATTTCTTTTGCTATTCGAATTATTTCATTCCATGAATTTTTAAAAACACCATTTTGTTGTTTACTTTGTAAATAATCACGTAGATTTCCAGTATCTGCAAATTGCAATACTATTATAAAATTTTTCATTCTTGGATCTAAGATTTTTTAAATATTTTAATTAATAAGTATATGTTAAGATTATTTATTAATTAAGTTTTCAAAATTGATAACTATACGTTTTGAAGTTCCATAGAATTTAATTACATTCGGATGCTCAACATTATAAAGAGCTTTAAGCTAAAACATAATTTAGACTATTTATTAGTTTCCAACATAAAAAAATTACATAAAAAATTTATCTGAATAAATATCTTTCGATTAAACTTGTTCTTATCCAAGGATAGATTATTATTTAAACTTTTTAATGCATAAGTTTTTTCATTAAAATTAGCTGAGAATATATATGAAAATTCACTGTCACCAATCTTTTTATGGTCATTGAATAACAAAAAATTAAATTCTTTTATATTAGAAGTTTTAAGCCAATTTTTTTTGTTTTCAAATTCTAAATGTATTATTTAGCTTAATTAATAATTAGCTTTTCAGTTAATAAAAATAGATGATTCGAAAGCATACTCATTGTTATTTTTGAAATTTTTAAGCAAGATTTAATTATTATTAACAGTAATTTTATGAAATGAAATAAAAAAAATATATTGTTAAAATTTAAATTTATTATCTTGTTTTCAAGAAAGATTTTTTTCTAACTAATTTATTTAAATCAAATCAGTTAAGTGTCACAGGTAATTAAATAACCGGAGAAATGTAATTGCGCTTAATTTCGGAAGTATTTTTTAAATGAAAAACATTCATTTCTATACATCCATTGCTTTGTTTACAACGTATTGAATATACAAAAATAAACTTTTGTGCAAATTGGTACTCACTTCTTGATGTTGTTTCACAACATAATTTGTCATAATGCCAAGAAAGATGCAAGAAATTTAGTCAATCTTAAGAAATCATCATAAACGATAGGAAACAGTTTTAACTATAGCTTTAACTTTATCAGAGCTAGTCGGTTTCTGGATATATCCGTTCTAATAAAAAAAAACAATAAAATATTATTTTAAACACTTAAACGTTAAGATTGTATAAAATGTCAGGAGCTAAACTTTACCATTCCAGCATTCAAAAACTCTTCTTCCCATTCATTAGTAGTATAAGCAAATATGGGGATAGCTTTATTTTTTTTCATAATGATTGTCAAATTCCTTATCTCGATACAGTTTTAACACCGGATAATTCTGGCATGTCAATATCCAAAAATACAAGATCATAAATATCTTGAGACAAAAGATTCAAAGCTTCACTACCATTCGATATAAACTTTACTTGATGCTTGAATTTTTTAGTAAGAATTTTTGATAAAATTTTACTAGTAATTAAGTTATTGTCAATGACTAATGATTTTATAATTGGAATTTTAGACGGTGTCGATTCATGAAGAGCATTAATAACAAATGATGTTGTCATAATATTTGTTATAAAATTAGATGAGAAGATTGTAGGTATTTACTAGAAATAATCATCATTAAAAGGGAGTGTCAAATTATTTCGTTCTTTAATTTGTAAATAAATATAGGTTGCATAAAACATTCAAAATATCATGTAAAGCTGTGTATTTCTAACAATAGAAAACCTCAAGAATGTTTTTATTTAAGAACTCGAAAGATTAAACTTAATGGCTTTTGGTCTTTTTTATATTTTTTATTCTTTTTTTTGTGAAATTTGTGAAATTCGTGAATGAGAAACTTCATCTTTAAACTTT